CCTACATATGAAGTTTTCACGTGATGCGGCGATCCCGAGGATTCCAGCCCCTCACTTGCTAAAGCAAGGACAACTCCAGCTAGCTGGTGCTAGCTTTCGTGATGTACAACTAAATTAAAATAAACTATGCTGTGACATACTGCGTATCATTGCATGTCCGACAAAGGTACCATACGCTTACTGGTATGCCTAGCACGCCTCCTGCCCGCAATGTCTCCCATCAACAACGAAGTGAATTTAGCCACCACAGCTTGGTTGAGAGAATGGACACTGACAAGTACGCCGCCCCGGTCCACACACAGCAAACAATTGCTAGCGGCTAGCAGGGTACGGTGTATGTATCAAAAGCATGGGCCCGAAATAAGAGGCAAACCATGACAAATCGCCTTGACATGTCTCGACCTCATCAGCATCAACCAACGGCTTCTGGAGAAACCATCTGAGCCCCAAACGGTCTGCAGCTGAGTTGATCTGGCCGGTGAAATAAGGAAGGAAATGGATAGAAACACAAGCGCAACCACTCAATGAGCCAAAAGAGTCTTGATGCTCAGTATAGACGTGTAAAAAATATTGCTAAAGATTATTGTAAAATGGTATTGGACAACTCGTCAGGACTCAAACTACAAACATGACCATGAACTTAGACACTAGGAATTCAGCCATACTTTCCTCTGCCATCTGTCAACCAGTGACCTGGGTATGCGCCTTCTTTCCTCACTCCGCATCACGAAGAATCTTCCCAAAGACGGCCTCGAAACCATGTCGCAGGTCCTCCGGTGCCCATCGCCCATTCTGCAAGTCCAAGCCGTCGGGTGTCCATGCACACATCATCCTCGTCAAATACATCAACCGGAAGCAACGCTTGAGGACGTCCTTGGTCACATCAAGGTCAATGAAGAGGAGGTCTGGCGAGATCAGCCGCCTCCAACTAGGAATGAAGGTAAAGAAGTCACAGTCCTCGCTGATCTGTCTCCTGAGGTTGTATTCCTCCGCCGGACCTGCCAGGGGACCCCACTTTTCAGGCTCCTTCTGCCATCCGCAGGCGATGATGGCATTGCACCAAAGATAGAAAGGCAGAATATGGTAAATTATCAAAAACCGGAAACCATTTCCGACCGCTTGACCTCCATAGGTCATGCTCAAAGCATTCGGGATATCCATCTGCCCCCGTTGCGCCAAGGACAGCAAAAGCAACAAATCGTTGGGCTCCTCTTCGGGCTCTACGCCGTCACGCTGAGCATCCTCGAATTCGTAGCGATTGGTTTCGCTCAAGAGCGCCCAAAAAAGGTCATGCTCGGGTCGATAGGTCTCTGGTCTTGCGTAGAACTTCTCCCGGGTTTCCTCCAGGTACTCTGGTGTCGGTAAGGCTTGGCCCCAAATGCGCTCGGCGGGGTATTTCGCGACCTCCTGCGCTGCAAAGTCGTCTATGGCCTTGGTGAAGAGAACCAGGAAGCGTTCGATGGAGTGAACTGCAGCAATGGGGTCTTTCAGTCGACCGTGGTCGCGGTTATAACCTATGCAAAAAACTTCCTTCTTGCCCTTCCCTGCAGGTCTGCAAAACGTCTTCTTCCTTGTGGTCGGGCAGCTCAAATCGCTGCAAAGCATCTCCTCAGTGAGATACTTCCGATGTTGCACTTGAAGACGTACTTCGGCGCTGCGAGCGTGAATTCGTCCACAAACACCTTGCAGTTTACGAAGGACTCCCCAAACAACGATCTTTGATGCAAGTGCTCGAACAACATGTTGCAAATTGTTGCAACATGTGGCAACAAAATGTAACGAGCCCAAACATGCACAAACTAATTTGATCTATCTGTCTATTTACCTATATATGTCTATTTATGTATAGTTATATATATATATATATGTGCGTATCAGAGCTTGAAAGTTTGTAGCGTTTGTCCCATGTCCATGTGTCAATTGACGGATTGTATCTGCTCCATTCAGCATCGGACATGCTCACCATGCACGGCACCTGATGGTAGCACAATCTCGCTGCCATCACCCTGCTTGAAAGCATTCAAGAGTTCGTGCCAGGGAAGCACATGACGCAAGTGTGGATCGCTCATGAATCAGCGTAGTGCCGCCGGCAATTTTAAGAACAGGGCAGGCACTGGAACCTTGGAAACCGAGTGCTATAGAACTGTAACGAGTCAGGCTCAAATGGCTGCAATTGAGTCAGTGATTGCGAAAGTGGATGCAACACAATGCCCGCCCTAGACTTGGGCCCCAGTGCAATGTTCAGAATCTATGAATAACGGGAATAAAATAGTTATAACATATTTCTGACCCAACAGGTCCGGCATGGAATCCCATGTGACAGCGACATCAACGAGTCATGCCACTGCCCGTGCCACATGCCCTTTCAACCAGCAAGTGCACTGCATGAGGCTTGGTCTGGAACACAATACCTGGTACCTTGATGAACCTTGATGTACCTTGTCCACCTTGCACCTCCCAAAAAAAAGTAACACGGCCTCCTCCATGTGCTGAGTCACCGCCTGTCGAAGCGACACATGATGACACACGCATGTCGCAGAGCTTACGTTGGTGAGCTTAGCTTGGGCCATGCGAGGCTGTGAGCAACAGGGATGGCTGGTCCTACTCGGAACATGTCGTGAAAAGAATGGGAGAAAACAAGCACACCCAACAACTCCTCATTTCGGATCACTGTCATCTGCTCGGACCTTGTCACGCGACCAACTGGTCGGACTGCTCCGAAACTCACGAACGCGGACCACTTAGCGAACGCGCGAGCGAAGCGAAGACGATGGTGGAAGACACGGGAAAACGGGAACAGCTGCTCTCCGCGCTTCTTTCGAATCTCCTACTGACTCTTTACTCGTTTCCCTGGAAGATGAAGAGAAGGTGAACCTCATTCTTGTTTTGTGGGGCGTCCCCACTCCCCAAAAGAAGGTTAAAGGTTATCAACGTTTCCTGGGCAGGTCCCCTAGACCAGCTCGCGTTATTTTCGGACCTTCAGGCCGCGCCAAACCACCGTTGGCCTGCGGCTGTGGGCTGCCAATGATGCGTGGCATGGGCTCGAAACCTGGGAGCCCGGTCTACCGCTGACATGACGACCCCAAGCTGACGGTGACATTGGAAATCAGGTCCGACCATGTCCGAGCAATCATGGCATTGATTCACATGACCTCTTCAGGTGGCTTTCGATGCATGCTGCCAGTAGCCCTCCATCGTAGCAGTAGCCAGTCGCCCTCCTCATGTGGGGATCTGGGCCGCCTTTCTGGGCTGCGGACGATGGCGGCTCTTGTTCGGATCCTCCTTGGCCGCCACACACCGTGGGAGTTGAGCTGTCTGAACGTGGAGAGAAACTTGCGCGTCTTTTCTTTGCTCCGAAGTAGGCCAGTACAATGCTAGCAGTACAGTAAGCCTTTGTGGAACATGCGAAAGCCAGACTGCTCCCCGCAGCTTTCGTGGCGCAATCCTTGATCTCTCTGATGAATTTCTCAGTGAGAACTCTGCATGGTTCATTTTGATCATGACGCTTCTTCTTACCTCACTAACCTTGAGTACAGGCTCAAGTGACCTCACAGCTAGGTGTCAAGGACCTGTATATTTGATGATCCTTGGGAAGGACCAAATTATTGGCATAGGTGTAATATATTTTATCTCATATTAATATATATCTAGGAGGCTACTAGGGGCTCCTGGCCTTACTACTAGGAGCAAGGACGCTACTAGGGGCTCCTGGCCGTACTGCTAGGAACAAGAAGCTACTAGAAACAAGGACGAAACATAAATAAGTGTATGATATCATATTATCTTATGAATCCACTGCCCGGAGCCACTAAGCCCACCACCAACTTCTCAGCAGATTCCATCCGGGGCAGCTGCCGGGGAGCACGTTCTTGGCCCAAAGAGTCAGCGCTGAAAATCTTTGGGCTAGCAAGCTTCAAAGAGTCATTTAGTCATAGAATTGAATGAGATACAATATGATATGATGAGATTGTTCAGTGATTGCATGGATATTGAGTCCTCAACAGTCCTTCACCTGCAACACATCCTTTTTTGAGATGTTCATAGACTTCATCTGAATTCACAGGTCTAAATCTTGCAGGTGGTGGTCTGCTGAAGATTGCTGGGAAGCATCCTTTCTACATAGATTCCGGTCAAGTCGCTGAAGATAGGGGATCCGGTCAACAAGATAGGGGATCCGGTCAACAAGTCATTTCAGTTCATTTGGTCCACTTCTACCAGCTTGCTTTGCGCTTGGCAGTTCCCTGAATTGGCCATTTTAAGCAGGACTTGGGGGTCCGTACGCTTCAGGAGTCAGCATTGGGCCAATGCCATACCTCCCAAGTGTCATGCCCACCTGACTTGAGGATACTTCATCTCGCAAATCATGATGATGGCCTGTTGTGTCTTCCTATGGGCCAACTGCAAATGGAGATTGCATTATTTTATGTAGAAATACAGTACTGTAGTTCGAAGTTGTTTTTGCTTCTTAGGAACTGAAGACTCTAAGATCTTGAGCCACTCTCCAACCTGCAGCATAACCATGTGTTTTGAATACATCAACAAACTTGCCGAACTCCTCCTGCAGCTTGCAGCTTTTCCTGCTGCCCGGTCCACCCCGTCGGCCAAGAAACTGGGCGTGCAAGGTGATGGGCTGCGCGACACCTGAAGCGCCAAATTGGCGGAGAATGCGCTGAGCTTTTCATGAAGAGATCCTGCCGATCGAATAGGATTTTGTCAAGAGAAGTTTGGAGGACTTGCTGGAGATCTCTGTGTCAGTGTCCAAAGAGCGTGACGTCAATCGCGTCAATGTCAGCTGACGTGTTTTGTTGTTTTCCTATGTTTTTTGTCGGGGTGGACGAGCTAATTTTTTTATGCACCGCCTGTAATTTGGACAATGTGAGGGCTTCCTCATCTCGGGGTGGTCTCAGTTTCTGTGTATTATGCCTTTGTTGGGATACACGCGTGAGATGTGACAAGATTACACTCAAACACCTCTTTGTAGGAAACGTTGCTCCATATAGTATAAAACATATAATCCTGCACCGCACAACGGAAAGCAACATATTCCCATTCTACAACGGAACTCGTCGCATGAACCTGTCTACTGATATGACCTCTTGCAGTAATCGATCTTATTGGGCTCCCCAGTCTCAGTGGCGATAGGGTCTCGACGTGACGCGACAGACGCGGAGACCGGACGAGCTGGCCCGGGGTTCCAGTCCCGAACGACCCAGACGCGAGCTGTCTGGGGCCATGACGGACTGCCATCCCACCCCTTTGAAAAACCACCCCTGGCCTGATCGGCATACATATGGCAGTCCCATGGAGTGTCTTGGTTAGATTATATATACCAGACATATAGATCTAGATCTGGTTACCTGGTTCCTAAATATTAGATATAACCATGCATAGTGGTATATATGCCCATAGAGGAAAGAGACATATACAAAGAACCATTAAACAAAAACATATAGCATATACAACCAGAGCCCTGCGATAGACCACATCCGGAACCTGGGACGGACCCGGCCTCCATGGCGCTCACACGATCTCACAGGTCGAAAGTGGGAGACGCAGCTAGTCCAAAGCAATGAGAATTGGCATGTTGTTTCAATCGTATATCAATAACTAGAGATAGAGATAGATCATATCATCAATGGTTTACATATAATATGAATGCAATATATATTATGCAAATAAATGTGTGTAACCCTGATTGCTTAAATGCATTCTGTGGGCTGCCTTCTATGTGACACTGGTTTAATGATTTCCGCTGCAAAGTTCTTGCTCAAGCAGCTGGCATCAGTTTTTTGTTGCTTTCACTGTCCTTTCTATCTCGCTTTGCTATGGTTTGTTGTTGACCTCCAGTCAGTGAGCCTGCCAGCTTTTCACAGTGGCTTGAGCCGGCCAATCGCAGGAAAATCATTGTCTGACCCATCTCAACAGGGGCGGTTCTACAATCCAAAACCTTCCGATAGGCTCACCACCCCAACGAACACCCCAAGCCGAGCCACGGCAAAACATCCTAAATGATACAGAGGTGTTGACATCTGACGTCACCTCATCCAAACACGCCCCCCATTTTGCTGCCTTTTGCTCTCGCGCGGCTGCGGCATGGGCAGCCCGCTCGACATGCGGCTCTGGTGACCTCGTTCGCTGGCTGTTTTCTTACTGCGTCCTGCTAAGAAAGGTCCCGCAAAGAAACCAGTCTGCGCGAAGACATCCCATCTCACCAAACCCAAACCGCCCAAACAGCAAGTTGGGCTGAAAAGACTCCGGTCAAGGGTTCTAAGGTTGGGAGATCTTTTGAAGACAGGAAGCTGGAGTCAGGTAAAGGTTCCCCAACACTGAAGTGGACACGCAAAGCCCATCAAAATACCATTGGATTTCTCTCCGCCGGCCTGTCTGGGCCCTGACCACCAATGTTTGACTTATGAGGCGTGTTACAGCATGCAACAGTTGAAGTGAGGTGAAAAGCTTAAAACAGTGTATAATATGCATAGTATGTTTATTACTTCTTTTGTTATTGATGTTTTGGGGTTTTACTAAATATTGTACACATCTGATCTTTCCAGCAGTTCCAAAGACGTATGCATATTAATTCTCAAACGCTACCTATGCATATATACAATTATATATATATGTATACCCTGGGAGTCAAAGACTATAAAAAGAGTTGAACTGTGTTTTACACGTCTTATATCCCGGCACCAAACAAGGCAACGCTTACGCCGCGTCTTACGTTTTGCTTACGCGCGCACAGTTTTGCTTACGCGGAATAAACAGGCTTACGCAGACCTTACGCTGGACATTTTTAGTACCCGGCCACAGCCCCAGCTTACGCGCAGCAACTTTTACCTGCAGGAACCGCAGCGTTTCTAGGCAGCATCAAGCAGTAGAAGATGATGACGTGGACGAAGAAGATGAAGCCGATGAAGACGCAGCCACAGAAGAAGCCCGCAGATGACGAAGTTGACGACGCTTCTTGGCAGCACATCTGCTGAGCGCCCGGGCATGACAGACAGACTGGGCACCACTGATAGCGGACAGGCCAGGAAGGACAGATTGACATCTAGAGAAAGCCGTCAGC